GTTTTCCTGCCATCCTTGACCTCACCGAAAAGAGCCTCGTGGGATCTGGGCTGCAGGGGGTCCGGGCCTGTCACTTATGCTCTTCTTGTTCATTTCCAAGCTTGAGCTGAGCCCTTTTTTATTGGTAGGAGCTGGATAAGCCCTGACTTCCAGCTGCGTATGACAATGCACGCGGGGAAAGCAAATTCCCTTGACATACATTGGGGGGGGGTTGCAGACCCAAGCTCCAGGGACTTTTTGTTTTCAGTGGCCGAGTTTTCCCTGTCCCGGGGACTTGTGCTTGTTTCCCAGAGTCATCCTGGGTAAGGGAAGCAAGCGTTTCACCTCCTACCCTGCCTCCGGCTAGGAATAAGCAAAATCTTCCACGACTGCAGCAAATGTCTTGTCTAGCATGAGCCACCCGGGGGCACTGACAGCACATCACAGCCGGCCCCTGAATGCAGCGGCTGAGATGAGCTGGGGTCTTTCCCCGGGTGGATCTGCTCCAGCCCTGGGGGTCGAGCCTCTGACTTCTGTTCCAATGAGCCGACGATGGGTACCAGATGCCAGGAGACGTGGTTTCAGCTCCGGGATGCCATGAGGAGAAGCCGGCTCCGCACCACTGCAAGGGACTCTGCAAGGCAACCCGCCCCGCAGCCGTGCAGAGAATGACCCTCGCGTGCCAGCACCCCAGCTGCCCCAGTGCGTGCTCTAGATGACACCCCCGTTGCATATTGCTCCCCCTCCCTTTGCCGTGACCTAGGGCTGCAGGGGGGACTTATCCCCACTCCCAGCCTGGTGACAACAGCTGTGCAGGGGAGGCAGCTTGCAAAAGCCTTGTTTGCAAAGGGGTGTCTACAGGTGTGTGGGGGAGATGCTAGTCTGCCCACGAGGGTGATCCTAGCCGTCCGCGGCAAAGCTCCACTTGCTAATGTAGGCTGGATTGAAGCACAAAGCTTGTAAACCGGGAAGGAGGGACCGGCCTTTGCTTTGCCTCTCCACCACCCCTCCAGTCCAGCGCGCTGGGAATACCCCAGCAAGGCAGGCCAGCCTCTATGGGACAGCGCAGAGATCTTGGTAACATTAGACAGACCCTCTTTCTGCACAAAGTGGGTGCCAAGCCAGGCTTAAATACCCGTGCTGGTGGGTATCTTTGTCCCAGCAGTGATGGGATGTAATGTAATGTCTAGCTTGGATAAAATAAGCATTGTCCCTGCTTCCTGGCACCTAGAGCCCCGTCGGAGCTGGGACTGCGGTGCCCCCCCGAGCCACTCAGCTGCTCTTTGCTGTAAATAATTGCACCCCGTCTTTGTGGTTGCCTTTGCATATCCTAATGGAGGAAGGGAAGACCCCAGGAGAGCCGGGTAAGGAGCAGGAATCACATCGAGGCGGGGAGAGGGCTGACCCTCATGGGGGGAGACTGGAGCTGCCATCCCTTCCGTTCTCAGGCCTTGCATGCTGGCTCGCCTTCCTCCTCCTCTCTCCATCAGCCAGGTGCCCCCTCCTGTATGCTGCGTGTGGATTGCCCCTCTGGCTTTCTCCAACTGTATCCTGGGGGAAAAAACAAGAGAGAAAATCTTTAGCCTTTGAGCAATAAAAGTGTACCAAGCACGCACTGGCTGTCTCGAGTGTTTTCCCTTCTGTCCTGCTGGAAAACGGCACGCTGGATCCCAGTCTGCAGCTCCGTGGTGCTGTCGGAGAACGGGGCGGTGGCATTTCTCCAGTCTCCTCTGGGAATAATTCACATTATCGGTGTCTGCTAAAGAGCACTGAACATGCGGGTCTGGGTAAGAGCCCAGGATTGCATTTGACAGGCACGTCCGGGCACAGCCTGGGATTTGCAATCAAATCCAGTATTTTCCAGCTGGTTTGATGACTGAGCGGGACCATTAGTGCCAAGGCTGGGTTGTTTTGGGCTAAAATAGAAAGATGGATGTGCTAATCCTTTCTACATACAAACTCCCAGGTAGCTAACGAGATTTATTCATTAAAAAAAAGAGAGAAAAATATCCAAACGACTAGACCCTGTTACTTTCCTCTCCACTAGCCAAGGCCTGGCATGGAGGGGTTAAAGTCTCAGTCAAAATGAGGTAGTTAAGAGAGGGTCGATGGGTGCAACTGGGAGGAACTCGGCCATCCAGTGCTCAAGGAGCAATGATCTCAATAGCAGGAAGGGAAGTTTTAGGTTAGATATTGGGAAAAACTTTCTCCTGTAGTAAAGCACTGGAACAGGTCACCCAGAGAGGTGGTGGACTCTCCATCCTTGGAGGTTTTTAGGACCCGGGTAGACAAAGCCTTGGCTGGGATGATGTAGTTGGGGCTGGGCCTGCTTGGAGCAGGGCGCTGGACAAGATGTGACCTCCTGAGCTCCCTTCCAGCCTTAATTTTCTATCAGGAGTGGCAAGCAGGCTCTGTGTCAGTCGCCCAACAGGCTAATGGTCAGGGCCAGGGATGCACAGCCAAAGCCTGAGGCACGCAGAACAAGCACTCACCTTGGAGCAGGCGGCCCTAGCACCGGCGGCTAGCGAAGCTGCCTCCGTGCCTAGCCAAACTGCTACCCAATTTAAAACAAAAATAGGCACTCCCTTAGAGATGTCATTTTGCAGTCCCTGCATTGCGCTGACTTCTCCAGCCACTAACAGAAAATGCAATAATCCTCCAAACAAAACCTGTTTTCCCTCTGCGGGAAGCTTGGCAATGATGGGGATGGGGAAGGGGGGGAAGCTGAGCGTAGTAACCTGGGAAAGGGGCAAGATCCTCACAGATAAATATCAAACACGCAGTGGACCTCGCGGGGCTCTGCTGACTTGGAGAGAGACAGCAAAAATGGCCAGTTCAGAGGTGCGAAGAAACTGCTGAAATTGTGAATCACCGCCTGGTTTCTTGTCGCTCTAACAAAACCCGTGCCTCTCAACTCGCACACCGGCTGCTTTTTTTAGAGCCCCTATTTCACCTATCTGCCAGGGCTAGAAGCACAAAGCTGTATTTCCACCTCTCTTCGGATGTAAATCCCTAGGACCTAGCAGAAGGCCTGTCTGGTTGCTGGCTTTTTAGACGGACACAGGCAAGTTCAATGCCAAAATGTCCTCTTCTCCTCCGTCCCCCCTCAAGAAAGGTGGAACCAAGACGGTCCCCAGGCACTGTCCCATCTCCCCCATGGCAGGATGGCAAAGGAGCACACTTTACTCAGAGAATCGTGTGCGTGCATGGCAGCTTGGTTACGCGTGCAAGGCAGTGTGGACAGTCTCCGCTCCAAGGCCTGGGGCAGCGGCGAGCTCAGGACCCTGGGGTGGGAGATGTCGACTTGCCGTCCCCAGGGAGCTGCCGATGGTCTCGTGCACGGCATCCTCCAAGCTCACCTGCTGCAGGAGAGGGACAAAGCCCATTCACCAAGTGGCCAGGAGGGGCCGTCGGGGATGTCCAGCCTTTGCAGAGGGCAGTCCTGGCCTTTGGAGGGCACCGCTGCAAACAGCTCCGAAGTCCCTCGTGCCACTTTGGCTCCAGCGGGTGACAACTCTCCAGGTCTCCATGCCTAGTGGTTATATCAAAGAGCAACCCAAGCAGAAGGGGATAGAGGCAGGTCTACAACCACAGCTACTCGGAGATCAATGCTAGCAGGAGGTGGGGCTGAGCCCCGCTGTTTGAATGGGAGCCGAGCCCTCGCCAGGTCCCACAGGTTCTGGTGTGGAGCATCAGCTAGGAGCCAGGCCTGGGGACCGGGGGCTTTCCCTGCTCCTCCAGCTCTGGATCCCCCCCATACCTCCTCCCCAACTCAGGAGACAACGCGATGCATCGCAGACGGCGCTCCCCCGCCAACCTTTCCTTTAGGCTGGGAGGAATCTGCAGCCGGGGCGTGCTGCACGCTTTGCACCCAAGCTCGTCTCTCCGTCTCTTCCTCAGCCAACTCCCGGGACGGACAGACGGAGCGTTTGCAAGCGAGAGCAGCGGGAGGGACTGAGCCCTGCACCCGGTTCCCAGGCGAACCAAGCACCAAGGAGGCTCTGACGGGCCGGAGGAAGAGAAAGATAGGGTTTTCTCCACTGATAATTTGGCTGCTCTCTGATGCCCACCTTGGCCGTATCACCCGACACATCCGAGGGGAGATGCAGAGCTGCGAAGCCGAATGCCTGGCCCTGCCAACAAGGAGCTACGAGCTGCAGACAGAAGTACCTGGAGCACGGCCCTGGATTAGCTGCTGCTGCAGCCCCGGCAGAAGCACCCGGGGTTGGTACCACAGCAGGATGCTGGGCTCCCGGAGGCACTGCGGGTCTCGGGCAGCCTTCCCAGAGGGGCTGGACTCCATTGCCTGGCAAGGAAAGGAGAGCAAGGCTGCAGAAGATCCCCCAGCACGTGTCAGACCCAAGGGATCATAGAACCAGAGATCTAGGATGATCCAGGCCAACGGTGAGCTCAAACACCGAGGAGGATGAATGGCACAGCCGTGCAGGTGCTGGCAGTGCTGCAAACTCCCCAGGTGGGTTACAAAAGCAGGAGGCTTGCAAAGCACGCCCCGCTGGGCTCTGCCCTTTGCCGCCAGGTGCTGAGCCAGCACACCTGAATGGGGGCCAGTCTGGGCCGGTCCAGCTAGCCCAGTAAGCCGTCTCCAGCAGCGGCAGGAATGGACGCTTTAGCGGGACAGCATCTGCACAGGGAAGATCAAGGGCGATCTGTTTTACCCTCCCTGACATCTGCCATCACAGGTTTAGAGCAGCGGTTCTTGACCCGGCTTGACTCACGGCACCCGTGGAAATGTCATCTCCATTTCCACTCTGGTTTTGACTACAGAAAGATCCTAGAGCAATTCTTCCCTTGCAGAGACCTCCAAAAGCCCCAGACAGGTCAGAACATATTTAACACAGTGGAT